GTCTATTATAACGTAGACAGCGAGAAAGAGAAATATAAATAAATTAATAAATAAAAAGTAAAGATAAAAACATTAAAAACATTGAAGACATCAAACCCACACTCTAACCCTAATTTAGCCATAAGCAACTCTAAACAGGTGGGTTTTAAGTTGGGATTTAAAGGCACACAGTGTTTCGGCTGTTTTACAGTTTTCTGGAAGTTTGTTCCAAATCTGTGGTGCATAGAACCTGTATGGTGCTTCTCCTCGTTTGGTTCTGGTTCTGGGGATGTAGAGCAGACCAGAACCAGAAGATCTGAGGGGTCTAGACGGTTGGTACAGCAATAACAGATCTTTAAGGAATTGTGGTGCTAAACCGTTCAGTGATTTATAAACTAACAACAATATTTTAAAGTCTATCCTCTGAGCTACAGGGAGCCAGTGTAGGGACTTTAAAACTGGTGTTATGTGCTCTATCTTCCTGGTTTTAGTGGGAAGGCGAGCAGCAGCGTTCTGGATCAGCTGCAGCTGTTTGATTGATTTATTAGTCAGACCTGTGAAGACGCTGTTGCAGTAATCAATGCGGCTGAAGATAAATGCATGGATGAGTTTCTCTAGATCGCGCTGAGACATTAGTCCTCTAATCCTGGAGATGTTCTTCAGGTGATAGAAGGCCGACTTTGTGACTGTCTTTATGTGGCTCTGAAGGTTCAGGTCAGAGTCCATCACTACTCCCAGGTTTCGGGCTGATCGCTGTTTCTCAGTTGTAATAACTGAAGCTGTGCATTGATTCTAGTTCACACCTCTTTAGGTCCAAAGATAATAACTTCAATTTTGTTTCTGTTCAGCTGGAGAAAGTTTTGGCACATCCACACATTTATCTGATCTAGTGATTGGATGGGTTCAGAGTCACCTGGTGACATCGTGATGTAAAGCTGTACATCATCCGCATAGTTATGGTAGCTGATCTTATTTCCTGTTATAACCTGAGCCAGTGGGAGCATATAAATATTGAATAAGAGGGGTTTTGGACATCGCCCGTCCAAAACCTATCATCTCCATAATTGATATATGTCTTCTAATTTCCTTTGCTGCATAATGTACATTGCATTTATTCTAGCGTTAGGTAAATGTATCTTGAAGGAGAATAGCACTTAAATAATAGTCCAACAAAGATATTAATTTAGACTTAAAAATAACACACCCTGAATTACCATGATAAATATAATGTATGTAATAAAAGCGTGTCATTAATGAAGGGGAAAAAACTCAATCCAGACTTTAAGTTTAGGGTCTGGTTCGCGGAGTATGAAGTTAAATTTTTTTCCCCAATTATTCAATGGAAAATAAAATTGTAATCAAAACTTTTGGAATTGTAATAATTCCTTTTTTAAAACAAAACATTTTGTTTAAAAAACTGTTTTTTAATTAAATAACTCATTTTTGTCTCGTGAACTTAAAAAGTTATTTGCCAAACATAAACTTTTATTGCACACATCAGAAATCTTTTCTTGCGATTTTAGGCCCTGCCGACGATGTCATGTGAGAATCACAAGCAAAACTTTGAGTCACAAACAAAAACTTAGAATAGCAAGAAAATATTTATGACATGCGCAAATAAGTTTGGTTTGCAGAGAAAAAAAATCACTTCATAAGACAAAAATGTGTTTTTAATTAAAAAAAAAGTTTTTTAAGCAAAACTCAGTAGGCTTTTCTCGGTGACATGGATTAACAATTAAATATTTGCTTTTGTTTTTTTCTTTTTTCTGCAGTTCCACGTTAAAGTTTGATGCAGCTCTGCTTTCTTGAATGGACCATCTTCATCTCCACTGCAAGTATAGCAACCAGGCAGCTCTTTTCATAGATTACAGTCCACTAAAAGGTTGCATTGTGCCCCTTGTTTATATTTTTAATAGTGTAATTCTGTAAAGGCAAAATATGTATGTCTGGTGGTCTAGCTCTGATTTACATATCTTGCTAAATTGCAGGTTTGAATATTGAAATACGTTCCTATAACAAAATAGACCTGCAGAAAGAAATTACATATGCATAGCTGTATGCTCTATATAGAGATTTTCCTTAGCTTTGATTGTATATCTCACAATTTTGTAACTTATCATTGTTTGTTAAACTCTGAAAGCTGAGAGGCTTTGTTAATATTCTGTCCTAGAATGTAGTTAGATGTGCCCTTTTTTTTTGAGTACCTGCCCCTTTAGTGGTCTCTGCACGGCCCTGATTAGTCATGCCTTCAGGTGTGTTACCTACAGGAACACTGTTAGGGAAAATGATGTTTGGAGCTATTCTTATATATTTCCAAATACTTCATTTCCTATTGAGCAATTCAACTGAAGGGAACATTCAGTGCAGTTTGATGGGTTTCTTAAGCTACTGATTACAATCAATACAGGTAAATGTTCCTGAAATAGTAATTAGTTGTGTTTGCAGTCTGGTTTTGTCATTTATCTTATTTGTCCAAATAGTTGAATCTTAATATATTTATTATCAGTTTTCCAGCATGTCTGGTTTTTTTGGATAAAATAAAACAAAAGAAACATCCTCTTTCTACATCTTGACTTTTACAGCCAATACAAAGTCTGTAAGAACACAGAAATGTGTTCTCTCCTCCAGGAATGTAAATCTCTTTCTGTTTTTGCATTCTGATTGGGAGTTGTTGAAGCTATTTTCTGACACAACATCTAAGCCCAAACCTTTTTTTCTTGAATGCCTTCAGACAACTTTTATATATAAATACTGCATTTGGATGGCTCTATGAGAATGTGATGTGTTCTACATTTGAGTTCTTCTGAAGCATGAAACATCATGGACAGAACAAACTTTCTTCTTGCCGCCTCGGTAAAAGAACAAACTTTTCTGTTGGAGCAGAAAATTGTCCTGTTCATTAAATTAGAAAATATTTATTTCAGCTAATAAATGACACATGATTCTAGTGACTAGATATGTACATCCACAACACCACATCAGAATTGAATGTTGAATATAGTTAACTTGACATAATAGTAGTTACTTAATCATGAAAGTTGACATTAAGAATGAAGAAATTAAAAGTAAGCGATAAAAATAGCAGTCCAAAGAAGGCTGGTATTTTACCTCAGAAGCAGGTCAGCTGTCAGGAACAAACACTCATATGTAATGACATCCATCTGTACAACTATTGCCACTTAAAGTACAGTGAAATGGGGATGATAGATGGCAAAGGCTATTGGGCTAACATCAGCACGCTGAAACTGAGAAAATGTTGAGTTCAGCTTGATCAGACAGTGAGCAGACTGTCCTATATGTTTCCACCAGATCATTTTGTTAATCTGTCAACTAAAAACTCTGAATCAGGACCTCTGGGACTCTGTCTGTGAAGCTAATGCTAATGTTAGCATAAAACGTGCTCTAGTCTTGTGGAGAATGTGTCATTTGAGCCTGCAAGTCCACTCAGTGCTTTTTATTCAGCCTTAGCATTCTAGTCAGTCAGCAGTTATTTCTAAATTCACTTGAGCCTTTGCGTTCTTAAAATACCAGGACTAGTTGACAACTTAGGTGAAGCTATTAATTTTTACAGAGATAAATGATTCACCATGTTACCCTGACTGACGTGGATCTTCATGGAGACAGACAACTTGCTCTCCAGATGTTTGGCAGCGGTAGCAGCGGCTCACTAAGCAGAGCAGGGTACAATGATAATGGATTAAAGAGGAGAGATAAAAATGTGAGAGGTACTTTGAAGCACACAGCAGCCCATCTCTCCTGCACTGTATCCACCCAGCACTTTTGTGACAATCAGATGACGTTGCAGAAAAGTAACAGTTCCTGTATTTTTTGAGCAGAATCTTCCATGATTGCTCACTGTGTCAGAGGTTATTTTCAGGGGACCTGCAAGCTGAAATAACCCTTCTGTTTTGCCAGTTGATCTGATGACGAATGCTTCTAAATCACCATTCAGAGGAAAAACTACTGAAGACACTCCTCCTGACCAATCAAAACAGTCACAGAGGAAGTTTACCTGTTTTTCATTCAGGTTGTGCTACTGGCTGTCCTCATGAAGCGTGTCGGAGGGCGGTGGTAATAACAAAAAGATGAAGCTTAAAATCACTATGCTGGAGGCATAAAAGTAATAAGAGTACATTTCAATGTGGAACAACTCAACAATAAAAACATTTAAATATCGCTAAAAATAACTCTCTAAACAGCTGTATTTAACTCTCATCCATCCACATGCTTTCCATCTTAACTCCAATCTTACATGACATTTTGGAAATAAGTGATATTACTGACCTGACCAAACATTGTACGCCAAGGTACGCCCATTATAATATATTACAATGTTAATGCGCCCTTCTATACGGTACGGTACGGAGCCCTTCTTTTCATTTGTTTTATCTTCAACATCCATGTAGATCTGTGATGTTTTTTGTTAATGTTCGGTTTTGTATAAGTACCATAATTTGAACTTTAGTCGCAGTGTTTTGTGTTTTGGTTTAATTGCATAAATATTGTCAGCAGTCTGGCTGCATTAATCTGCCCCATTCAGTTTGTGGAACATGCAGCAGAAGAATATCATCTGCACCAGCTTTTCCTTTTCTGGGCTTTACAGACATGCTGCAGAGCATCAGAACATAACGGTGTGTTGGTGCACTGGAATCACTCAGTAATTATGCAGCTCAAAATATGCACTGCTGTAGGATATTTATAATCTGTATTTTAATATGTTTACTTTATATTCTCTAAATGTTAGAAATATTTGCCTTCTATAACTGTATTTATGCCTTTCATTTTTATGTATTTGCGTCCCAGTTTGCACCTGTTTTTCAAACATTCTCAATGTAGATGCAAAACAGCAACGCAATCTGGTTAGGTTTAATAAATTGTGGATGGTAAGTTATTATATTTGCACCCCCCTCTCCCACTGTTTTGAACGTTTTGCTTTATTGTGCCTATTCTCTTTAGTTTGTTGATGCAGTCCTTTATGCGTGTTGATCAGCTTTGCACCTGTTTTTGTACACGTAAACCTTCTGAAAAATAAAAAGAGTTAGAGTTCTAGCAAAGTCTCAATACCACTCGGCTGCTTCTGTACGCTGTGAGCTAACAGCTCTCTACAGCTCCAAGGAAACTTCAGTGGGAAGACCCACATTAAAAAAATTTAACATCAACATTCACATGCAGATGAGTTGTTCTCTGGTTGTGATTAATGGATGCTGATAGAGGAGCAATTCAGTTCATTAAATAAGAATACAAATCATGACAAGGAAGCCTAATGATGTCTTCTGATCCATAAACAGAGAAAAATTGATTTCTTATCCATAATAATCCGCAATTAGTGGCAAAGCCAACAAGTGAACTGCCATGTTCATGCAGCACATCGTAAAACAGTAAAAGAAGAGAAGTGGGGGAGGAAACTACTGATTCATAAGCCACAATAATTCATGTGGATCAAAGAGGGCAGCTCAGGATCATCTGGATAAGGATTAAAGCAAAAACCATGATCAGCCATTTTGGTTCAGTTGCCTACAAAGCTGTGCTCCAAGTTATACTAGGTCACTTCTGTATTGACCGATATTTGCCAGAATATACAGTATGCATGCAAATGTTAGAGATGCAGCTGCCAGGAAACAAAGAGGAGATGTGAATGAAGTCAGAGGACATGGAGGAGAAGCCAGAGTTAGATGGAGGAGGATGACTCACTGTGGTGATCCCTGAAATTTGCTGCTATGTTTTCTCTATTGTTGTTGACCAATCACTTTATCATAGATTATAATATTTTTAAAGATGCATAATAGCCACTAATTTAATATTTTTTACGATGTTCGACCAGTATCACCTGGGAGGGGGGCAAGTATTGGAAATCAGCCTTCGCCTGTACTTGGATGTATTTTATCCCTGCATACTGTCCATCTTTAGCTAATTAAATTAAACAAATACATTTTGCAAATACATTACATCCCATCATTCTTCATAGCAGACTAAATCAATACACATTGATGAGGCAGTAAAGGTTCCATCACTGTTGTCAATCCTGAAACGTAAGGTCACAACTGTTGGGGCTGTGAGTGTTTATGTACCGCTTCAGTAATCATCCAGAGCACAAATAACAGATGCAGGTTACATAAATGAACAGAAATCACATGGAATTATAGCTGTACAGTCTTATTTTGGCAAAGAGTTCACCATAGAGTTCAAATGTACACAAGATGATTTTTCTTCTGAGAAAAAAAACCTTAGTATTTATTTCTGAAGATTAAAATTAATCATTTAGATTTAAATCAAATTTTACTCCCAACGAAGGTGGAGGTTTGATTGTTGGAGACCAATCTGATGAATTGAAAACACAAGTATTTAACAATAAGGTATTCTCCATTTGCTGACCGAAACAGAGAATACCTGCAACAAGTACAGCGGCCTAGTTCCAGGTTACACAAAACACCAATATCTAA